CGGCCATGCTCACGATGCTGCACCGCAGCTCTATGCGCAAGCGGAACAGCGAGCAGGCCAGCCTGCAGTATCGCCATCAGCCGCAGTCCTCTATCTCGTCCAATGCCTCCAGCTCGACGACTGCCAGCGGCATAGCGCAGGCGAGCGCAGCTGGTGCTCAGCAGTGCCTGGCCAGCCCGGACAGCGACGAGGGCTCAATTTCGAGTGGCTGCGAGACGGCCAGCACGGTCACCAATGCCAACCAGGAGGAGTACAACAAGTCTCAAGGCAGCAATGTGCAGCAGCAGGTGCTCGAGCAGATGTTGATCTACCAAAGACTGGAGGAGTCAAAGCGACGCCAGCAGCTGCGCCACAACAGTGACGCCACCAACTACAGCAGCTCCAGCAGCATTACCCTGAAGCTAAACTCCTCGTCGCCCGCGGAGTCGGTCAGCTGCCTAGAGGTGTCCGATCCTAAACAGCCGGCGGATGCAGCCAGCGTTTCCGATGACGATTCCGAGTGCAGCGATGAGAGCGGCTATGTCGAGTTCCAGGAGAAGGAGCGCGTTCAGGCGAATGCTGGCGTTGTGGGCGTGCCGGTACCTGTCAAGCCCCAGCTGCCACCAAAGCCGGCGCCACGCCGCTCGCTCAGCCTAGGCGCCACAGCGGGCACTGGGACGCCGGTCTGAAAGTCCCAGCCGCCCGAAAGTATGCTTTAATAAATAGATGTCTCCCCCATTGTTATTTCTGCGCACCCGTCAGCAACAAAAAGTGCAAGAAATTGAATTACTTATTCGTAGTCGTAGCCCTAGGTTTAACTTTAAGCTGTTTAGCGCATAAGTCATTTGTTGTTGGCTCATCATACAAAGAAATAACCTAACGATATTATTGTGTAAATGTTTCTTTATTGCACAAAAACCATTATATATTCATTGATTTTTGTTTATATTTTTATTATTATTATTTTTTTATTTTTTTTTTGTTTAATATGTCCCCCAATTCACAATTGATTTGTTTATTCTTATCGGTCTTCCCTGCACTCTTCCTGAAGAGATACTGTTTGATTTGCTCTGTAAATAAACTAGGCGCCCTAAGCACTGCATGTACTATATGTAATCCATGAATTGTATCTTAACTACCTATATAAATTATTATTATGAAATATATGCAACTAAAGTAGCGAAAAATGTGCGATCTATACGTTCTTCTTAGAGTCTTTAGAATTTATCGGAGAGTTTCATAACTTTTTGACATACCAGCATTTAATTGACTTGGCTCTGTAAATAAAAAAAGGAATTTTTAAAACCGCCGTCCTATGCGATTCTCATAAAGTAGTCATGAAAGTAAACACAGATTTCCATGTTTTATTTAAACTGTGTCACGCTCAATCCATCTTTCTCTCTTTCGATTGTGGATATGCACATTAAAGTTTTGTTAGCCTTCTATTAATATTAGATTGCAATGAAATAATCATACCTTGTGAGATACCAGCTCTTAGCATAATTACAATTGTTATGCCAACTAGTAATTTAATACTCTGTTAATACAAAATTTGTAATAACGCCGTACTATGCGATTCTCATGAACTCAAGTAAGACCCAGATTTTCTTACTTCAATTATAGATGTCTATTAAAAAGTTGAGCTGGCAATTTAATACATTTACTTCACTCTTACTTCATATTTCTCTCTCCCAAGAGACGCAGATAGAGATCTTTTCTTTACTGCATTACTTTCCCGTTGTATATACTTATATTAAAGCTTGTCTCAATTGTCTCAAGAGCTGAGCTCTTTTTCCATTCTATCTTATGCACAATTTAGTTGATTCCTCTTGCGTTAAGGGTTCGACTCACCTGCTGAAAAGGTTCCCATCCGCCGCTGGACGGTTGGCTAAGAACTGCCTCAACAAAGTTTTGATAATAATAATTTTGATTCGCCTAATTTAATTAGATGTTAGTATATATGCGGCATCTCAAAGTCAAACCAATTATATTATTATGCGGACTCTAAATAATTTATACTAATTTTGGCCAACACTCAACGACCAAACCAGACGCAGGTATCCCAGCTGTATATAAAACAAATCCAGCTGTGTCAGCAATTTTTGTCTAAAAATCAACCTTCTGTCGGACGATACACTCCAAGAGACTATAAAACTGAAAGACCCCAACGTATGCGCAATGGAATATACTTATATATATATATATATTTGCCAGCTTTTTACTCTAGGCGAATATATAATTGCTCTAGGTTAGTTAAGTAGCCGGACACAGGATATTACTGAATTTATATTTTTATATAGGACAAAATCAGAGTACGTGTATACATTAAATTTAATTGTTGTACGAGTTGGATCTTATCATTCATGTAAAAATGTTTTTATTTTGATGCCCGTTCAAACGAAATGAAAAGAGTATCTTGGGTTTTTGCAGTGCTCGACTTGCTGTCGGTCCGTTCGATTGTCCGTCTGTTTGGCGATATAAAAGCTAAGGCCACGAAAATCCTAATCCCCCACAGAATTAAGAATAAAGGCAAATATTGAAGAGGTAAGCCAACGACGATGAGATATTTCAAACTGCTCATTGTACCTTGAACGGGTATTAGGCAGTCGGTTACATACGACTGCATCATTGCGACTTGTTTGAATTGAAGTGAACAGAAATAAAACGTGTTGCACATTTTTTTTTTTATTTTAACTGGGCAATTTACTCGAATGTTTGCACATGGTTGGAGTATTAAAAGTAGTTGGTTGCTTGGTTCTTCACAATCTTTATTTGCACAACAAATCTGGCAATTATACATGATATGAACACACACACATTTATTGACAAACTGTGGCGGGCAGCGCGATTTGTTGGTGCAGCAAATAGCAAACGGTGGCTCGGAAATTGCGCAGCGACTGGTCCTGCAGCTGCTGATTGAATACCTGTTGGGGCCAGCGCATGATCCGGAGTGAAACCAGTTAACAATTGTGAAGGCGTTTACTTACCCGATTGTAGACAATGGTGGGCACAAAGCTGGGCCGATAGCGGTTGGTGATGAGCTCCGCGTCCAGCTGGAGCTTGGTGCCCGTCGGGGTTTTCATGCAATACTCCACGTCCGTCAACAGACCCGCCTGGCTGGCGCACTAAATGTGGCGAATGTGGCAAATATTGAAGGTTGCTAACAAGTTAAGCAAATGCTGGGCTTTCGATAAACAATCTGCGTACGCACCTTGTCGGCATTTGCATGATTCGAGGCAAACATTTGGCAAACCACGAATTTCACCTGCGCCGCCTGATTTTGGGTGCTGCTGATGACGCAGCTCTGCAGACGGTTGCCCTCACACTCGGCTGGTCCATGCTGGCAGTGGAAGAGGGCGCCGCTCTGCTTGGACTGCCAATGGAAGATTAGCTGACTAGTCATTTCACCTTCTCACACAAATCTCATTGGAATTACCGCTGATTTTCCAAATGGCACCAGCTCAATGTCAATGTATGGCTCCAGCTCTTGGTGCACGGGCCCCAGTTGGCGCATAAAGTTCTTGCTATCCGGGCAGAGCGACTCGTACAGCAGCGTTATGTGCAGCTTAAGATAATTGCATATATCAATTTAAAATCGAAAATATATATTTCCCAGCTATTCACCTTTGCAGCCTGACGCTTCTGACGCGGGCTCTCATCAGCCAGGATGCAGCTGATGAGCAGGACCAAAATGCAAAAGGCAGTGATTAGTTTAGACATTTTGCACCCTGAATACACTTGACTATTGGCGAACGAGTTTTCCAATACACTTATACGCATATGCCCAATCGATGGAAACCGACCTTCGATGCACTCTCACTCAGAATCGAACAGTCGCCGCGCTGCCAAGTCTAGCCCCAGTTTATGCGACCGTCCAATTCGATTTCAGTTCAGCGACTGAATGTTTTGTCGCATTTTTTGTACTGAATTTTTGGACCGAGTGCCGAGCGTAAGCCGGTTTTTAATTTTGGATTTTTATCCAAACTCCCAATAAAAGCTATTCTGCTCACACATTCACAACTCTGCGTTAACTGTAACCATGCAAGCGGCGCGGGACCAGGTTTTCAATATTCGATTTAATTTCTTTTCTCAGCTTGAAATTTTAATTTGCGCGCTTGCGGCATATAATTCGTTGCATTTTAAAATCAGCAAGAGCGTTAAGATGAACTAGTTCTTTTGAGTGATTTTTTCTGTTTACATTAATATTCCAATCGGTTCATTTTTTATTTCTTATGTACGCGATAATTGATCTTTGTAAAGTTCCACTCGCAAGTGTGGAAAATAAGCGAATGTATATGACGTCAGCTTTATAGATTTAAGAAATACTTGCTTCGGCAATTTTGACCCAAATAAGTTTTGAATTTCGAACCGAACGCGATTTTGATAAAAAAAACGTGATGTAACCCCTTGCTATTTTGTTCGATTTGGGTCAAAATTTAGATTCTCAATTTTTTGATGCCAGTCGATAGTACTGATCCTTACGAGTCATCAAAGGGCAAGGCCAGGTAATACATGCTATATAAAAACCGACTAAGAAGCTGCAGTTTTTACAAAAAATCGTTGAAAATGCTGTTAAGTCTGATCCGCTTCATATTAATTGTTTACATTTAATTATAGAAATATAGTTATTTTTACTGATTTTGGAAACTGCATTGTTGAGAAATCGGTAGAGAATCGTTGATTGCAACTTTTTCCTGCTCTTTCTATATATGAGACATATTTATAAAGTGATTCACCGACTCCGGTAAAAACCAACTTAAGGTAGAGCGAGTATATTTAGATTTTCCAAGGGCAGCAAATGGGTGGAATACTGATTTATAAGACAAATCGCCCAGGTAAGGCCGGGTAATACCCACCCTCGTTGTATATATAAGCATTGACTAAGCCACCTGCGCTGAGAATTTTTATCTTCTGGTAGTAGTTTCTTTTGAAAAAGGCCGAATCGGAGATATATATATATATATAACTATTATTTATAGAACCAATTTGCAACGGATGCATAGGATATATGTATATTGTTAGAATTACAAAAAATTTTCAATATCTAAAAAAAAATATTTCCTTTATTGGAAAAATGTGGGGTACCGAAGCTAGGTGTAAATTGCAATTTAATGGTCAGCTAATAGGTAAAACAATCATCAGGTAATAAATGTTTAGTTTTTACCATAATTTCGCACAGAGTTTGTCGTAAATTTTTTCTGGAAGCCTCCTGCAATTCGTCATTTAATACCTAAGGGTTTTGAAATATATATGCTCATTTGTCTTAGGAAGTGCGAAGAGATCAATGAAAAATACTCACTCCATTATAGATAATTGCAGGTATTTCGTTAAATTGATATTGACTAGTTATTCTCGAAGCCTCGGCCTGAAGTTTATTACCTTGGCCATTCGAATTCATGCAATGCCTTACGCTTTTGAAGATATTCAAGGATTTGGCGCACTTGAAATTCTTTTTCCTCACCAGCTGAAGGTCTTTCATCTGACAAGCAATAAATTTCATTTGCTTTAACTGATTCAAATTTGAGTGAAGAGCACAGTCCTGCATCCGATTGCCCCAACACTCTGGTCGGCCGTGTTGGCAGACATGTCCCCCTCTTGCCGGCTGTTGAGGTAATATTAAGATCGAATTCTGATGCTCAGCATAAACTTACTCTGGCCTTGCCATATGGGACCAACGTTAGATTAATGCAGTTATGGTAATACCGAAAAACTGGCCAAAAACTGCTAAGGAATTCTTGGCTGTCGGGACAGAGGGACTCATACAACACGGTCATTTTCAGAGGCTGCTTGAAAAGTCATCATTAGAGAATACTTAACTAGATTTGGGCAGTTACCTTTATTGAGGTCCTACAACGTGTGGTACCACATTCCAGAGATGGTAACAAGAACAGAACAATATACAACCCTTTCATGTTAGCCGGTCTGAGAATAGCAAGAAACTGTCACATAAATTTATTTTATTTTAGACTATCTGCAGTGCATATCGAATGGAATTAATTCCGCACATTCAAAATTGGCGGAACAAATTCATAGCAAGGAGCTTTTGCTTGAGTGTAGTCAGTGCTGGGCAGCGAGTAAACTAAATTACGATTCTGGCTAAAGTGCTTCAGGCTTGCTTTGTTGAAATATCGACCGACCGCCACAGTCTATCGGCAAGTGACCGATAATTTACATTAACATTTTATTCCGATTGGACCCAGCCTTTTTATTAACAAAACAAACTGAAAACAGCACTAAAAATGAAGAAAAAGGTAAATGAATGCCAAAAATTGTTAAAATAACGTTCGATGTTAAGTGTTATTTGTTTTGTGCTACCCATAGGTACTGCTTATGGGCAAAAGCGGCTCCGGCAAGACGAGTATGCGGTCTATCATATTTGCGAACTATATAGCCCGTGATACGACACGTCTGGGCGCAACAAGTAAATAGCTTTTTGACAGTGTTCCAATAAAAGGTTTAACAATTGTTTACTTGTAGTCGATGTGGAGCACTCGCACGTGCGTTTTCTAGGCAACCTGGTGCTTAATCTGTGGGACTGCGGCGGTCAAGAGAGTTTCATGCAGCAATATTGTACGCAGCAGCCCGACAATATATTTCGAAATGTGGAGGTGCTTATCTATGTGTTCGACGTGGAAAGCCAGGAAATGGAACGGGATGTGCACTATTATCAGAGTTGCCTGGAGGCTTTGCTGCAAAACTCACCAGAAGCGAAGATTTTTTGTTTGGTACACAAAATGGATCTACTCGCCGAGGACCAACGCGATCGCGTTTTCAAGGAGCGCGAAGGGGATCTCATACGCTTGTCCATGCCCGGCAATGTTACATGTTTTCGCACCAGCATTTGGGATGAGACATTGTACAAGTGAGTATTCACACTGCTCGCAGCTTATGAACGGGGCATGACATTTAATTAACCTTTGCTCTCACAGAGCTTGGTCGTCTATTGTTACCATGCTAATTCCAAATGTGGCGGCACTCGAGAACTCATTGACACACTTTGCTAATGTGATTGAGGCGGACGAGGTGCTGTTGTTCGAAAAAGCCACGTTTCTGGTCATCTCGCACTGCCAGAGCAAAAAGAACCGTGATTCGCATCGCTTTGAAAAGGTCTCGAACATCATAAAACAGTTTAAACTGAGCTGCTCCAAACTGGGCGCAAAGTTCCAATCCATGGAGGTGCGCAACAATGCGTTTGCCGCTTTCATCGACACCTTCACAAGCAATACGTACGTGATGGTGGTCATGTCAGATCCCACTCTGCCGTCAGAGTCGACACTGGTGAACATACGGAATGCCCGCAAGTACTTTGAAGAGCTGGAGAATCCAAATAACATTGCCATGAACCATCACAATCACAAGTACCACTGATGGGCTGTGACTGTCGTTAAGTTTAATGTTTTTCCGTTTATGTTAATGTTTGTTTTTCGTTACGCAAAACAAACAGTTTATTGTTGCACATCGAAGCGGCAATCGAGCCGACATTTCTTATTGCTTCCCATAACATATAACCAACATCTCCATATGTATCGAACGAGTATGAGCGTTGATTTTTCCTACATTTATAAGAATGCTTTACAATTTAAACCTCTAGGCCTTAAGTTTATATACAAAAAACACACATTACATGTAAAAACAAACATTTATAAATACAAAATGCTAACAATAGGACATATTTATATATATGTAAATGCCACTTCTGATACGAGTAACAAGTAACAGTAGGGGAGAACTATTTATAAGCACACTGTAGAAGACCCAACATTGTGTTGCACATATCACAGACACATAAATCCAAGGCACCGCTGGCTGAGAATTGGCCGCAGGCTACAGCACTAGGAGTAGAACCGTCTTACCTCTGCGGACAACTGGTCTACGCTGGACTCGTCCACGGCAATGAAGCGCTTGGCTCCGCGACTAAAGTAGTAAATGTCACCTGTGTAGATGTCAAACCACAGTGCATGCACGTGCAAATTGTGCGTTTCGAGGCGTGTTTTGAGAAACCCGTATGATGCTACATTGGACATTTGTTGCAGGGTGTTAATCTGAGACAGTTTGTCCTCAATTGCAAACTTATTCTCTTCATCAATGTAGGCCACAAAGCGGCTCAGCGGCGTCTCGGAGGAGAATATCAACGGGTCCTTCATGCCCGCATCGCGCCACTCCTGAAATTTTTCCAAACTGGTGTTGGCATGTGTGCACATCCAGGAGCGAAGCGGCGACAGTCGGCGATTAAGCTGAAAGGGCAACAATTCATTCAATAACGCTAGACCGTGCACGGAACATGCTCACCTTGGAGGCAAAGTCGGGATCACGCAACTGATACAGAAGATTCATCGCCTTGCAGTCGCTGTGCCCACACACAATTATATGCCTTATGTCATTCACCACACAGCCCAGCTCCAGTGCCGCCGGCTCGCAGCTAAAGTACTCGTCCTGAAAGTGCTGGGCGTGCGGTATCAGATTTCCCGCATTTCGCACTAATCATGTGAAAGCGTACAGGTGTTAGAATATATATTGAATTTGTTGTATATTGATGTGCTCGTACCCACCCACAAACATGTCGCCAACGTGTGTGTCCGTATATCTTGTGGGAATCATGCGACTGTCCATGCAGGTGAAAAAGACGGCCTTCGGCTGATAAGGTATTAGTCAAATATTAGAACATATATTTGGGATCAAATTAGTTTTAGGGTATCCATAAACTGATATGCTTAACTTATTACACGTCTACATGGAGATACATACATCCAGACGTACATATTATTGTTATTGTCTATTAATTTTTATTTAGCTCCAAGTTAATTAGCAAATGATTGCTGAAAAGTAAAAGCATCCACATTAAGTGTAACAAAATAAAAAATAAAAATAAATATTTCGCACTTTAGTTAACTCAACCGGTTAACCTTTGTTTTTTGTTTACCAAAAACGCAACACAACCGGAGAGATCCGATCCGATGAGTATTAAAGTTCGCAATGTCTGAGAGCGTGGAGTTCCAAGCTCTAGAAAACCCTCAAGACTTCGATGAGTGCATTTTTGAAATACCTTTAATGACACATTTTAAAGAGCACGAGAGCGAGAGATAGAGAGAGAGAGAGGATGAGAGCGTCTCTCGAATTGTCTGGGCTTCAGTCTGGCTTGAAAAGGCATTAAAAAGTGTGATAATGACCCGACACCGACACAGACAACAATAAAAACAAGCACAAAATAATTGGAAATGTCGCTCAAGGCAATTGGCATGCTTGAGTGCATCGGTGTTTTAGCTAATAACAATCGGTTCTGTCAATGACAAATTAACAATTAATGAATGCACGTGTCTTGACCAGCTTTGACCTCTCCAAGCTGCAGTTACTCACCTCTGGATTGTCGCGAACTTTTTGAAATTCCTTGACCATTTGCTCTCGGGTCGTGTTGCGATAACGCATAATTCCTCTCAAAATTCGCTCCATGACTGGCGACTTATGTTAATTCCGACAACCGGGAGATAAGTAATCTTAATTTTGGCACTTTTATTGATCCCACTTGGAATTGATTTGTCTGTGCTCAAATTATGTAGTCCGAATGGAATTGCGTACACGCGCCGCGTCCAACCAACCAAAACTGTCGGCGGAGCATTTGAAATTGAATTGTTGCTTCCAAAACACGCGACGGCTATGCCGCGAGAGCGTCTGTTGGCATTGTTGACAGTCCGCTTTTGCTCTCAGAGAGCGTCGTGGTGGCGAGTGGAAAATCTGCTCAAGAGTCGAAGCGGTTCTCGGCAAAGATTTTATACTGTTGCATATGTATGGTATATGACATATGTATAAATATATTGTGTTATTTATTAATTTTTCTTTAGTTACGTTTACTTAGTTAGTTACTCTTTCTTATTTTCGATGGCCTGATTTGTCTATTTACCATAACTGAGATATGTCTATGCAAGGTCATTGAATGATTGAAGGCTGCCAGACTAGAATACACCCTGTACACGAAAAAATAAAAAATAAACACGTCAAAAGCTCTTTAAAATAAGGGTTGCAAACGGCTTTCAACGTTAACTTTTACTGATATTTCATACCATTAGTTAGAATATAACACAGTGATATAAAAATAAAAGCAAGTTGAGTCAATTCATTTTTTTTTTGTCTGATCTCTTATCGCTTAATTAGTTTATTAGACTCATAAGTTAATGTATCTGACTACGGTCAAGTGATAATTGCGCATTGGCAAATCACTTTTTTAGGGCTTCTATAGCACACACAAAATTAATTGAAGCGATTTCGCTGCCTACTTTTAGGCGCCCGAAAAGCTTTTCAAAGCTTTGGTATGTTTATAAATGCCGCGCGACTGTCTTTGCTAGTAATGGGCCCTTTCAGCGACTGGGCCGAAGTAAGCCTGTAACTATACGAAACGATGTCGTTTCCAGGAAACGCGGGTCGCATCATTCATTAACCATTTAAGAATTTTTCTCAGACCTTTGTTGGCGTGTAAAAGTGGGTTACACACCTGTAAGTGAAAGAGACGCACTCGCACATCTGCACACACTGCAAATATTATGAAATCCCCCATAACAGCAGAATGAAAGCAGCCAACACAGTGCCGAGACGGTGCCTGTGCCCTGTGCCCTGTGCCCGTGGGGTGTCCACAAAATACTGGAGAGCCGAGCAGCCGGAGTACAACAACAGCAAGCATTTCACCAGCTTGAAGGCGAATCGATGCCCAAGCAGATTCACTCTTGATGATTATAAAGTATTGTTGTTTTGGGGGCACTCGACTCGACTCGACTCGTCTGTTGTTTTGCTTTCCTTTCATTATCGAGCGGCAAAATATTGGTTAAACAAGCAAAAACAATGAAAACGAAAGAAACGAAGAAAGAAGACAAAAAGTAAGTTTTTACGGTGGAGTGCGTGGGGTGGTGGTGTGGGGAGGGGGGTAACCGCAGCGTGACCAACAAATGATGACGATGGTGCCAGCATCTGCATCTCTTGAGAAAATCACGATTATGTTGATGATCAGGCGGGCAGAACGCCAACATTCAACTTAAAGCTCATTACAATTGCTATCAAGTGGAATCATCATAATCATCATCACAAAATGGAGAAGAAGAAGAAGCAGCAGATAGAAGAAGAGCCAAAAGAAACCAAGGCAGAAGCGTGGGTACGAAATAATGCACAGAATCGCCAGCATGACAATGATTACCCTACCTAAAGAAAAAGAACCGCAGCATTTTTCTTCGCACTCGCACAGCTGGAATACGAATGGGAATGGAACTGGAGCTCTCCACCAACCCCTCTGTCGTCCACACTCTACGTGTGTGTGTGTGTGTGTGTGTGTGTGTGTGTTGCTGTCAGCTTTCAAGAATTTGGGCCAAAGCAGCGAACATAAACAAAACTTGGATGATGATGGTTACTTAACAGTGTTGAACAATAAATGAGGTAGACACACACATGCATATGTATATACAATTACATATAGCATATGCATAAGGGTGCGTGATGGGTGCGTAAGTGTTAGTTTGGTGTGGGTGTTGTGAAATACTGATCGTGATTATTACCAAGTAGAAGGAGAGAGAGAGAGAGGGAGAGTGAGATAGAGGCAATTTGGATGCAGGTGCGTTGGGACCTACAGATTGATTCATCAAGTGCAGAATTAAAGCTGCAGCAAATTAATGGGTATCATAAAAATGTGCAAAAATAAAGATTAATGCAGTGAAAGCTGTTATTTGAGAATGTGGCATTATGTCAGATAAATTTTTTGCTGTACAAGAGTTCTCTATGTTCTCTTATGTATCAAATATCAAATATCACTATTTGACTATTTATATAGCATACATATGCACATACATCAGCTCTTTCAGCATTTCTGGTGATCTTACATTCTCAGCTAACTAACCCACTGACTAAACGAACGAAATGATGTCATTGTATTTTTTGGCCAACTTTTTATTTTGGGGTTTCCTAAGCATAATTTATATGGGTGTTACCTCTTCGCTGCTGCATGCCCTTTCACCAAAGACTAAACACTCTTGCCATCTCTCGCTCGCGCCGCCGTCTTCCACTCAGCTTTTGGGCATATTTACCTCTCGCTCGCACAGGCACAATTTGCAAATGAGTCGCTTGATTCTTTCGGCTGACTTTTGGTTGAGTTAATTAGTGAGTATCTTTCCTCGGCACGCACGCAACACCAACAACAACAATGTGTGTGTGTGTGTGTGTGTGTGTGTGAGGGTATTTGTATTCGTAATGGCGGCATTGCTGTTCTTATTAGCGTCGAATGGCTCTCTGCAGTCAGCTTTAAAGCTGCCTCTGCTTCAAAAGTGGGTCAGCAGCGTCGTTAAAGCTGCGAGTGTATGTGTGTGTGTGTGTGTGTGTGTGTGTGTGTGCATGTGTGCAAATTAAATATTCACAGCGTTGGTTAAGCAAATAAAATCTCATTCTCAGCTTTGTTGTAATTGTTGTTGCATTTCATTCTGTGCGTGTGTGCGTCTGCGTGTGTAACTGTGCACTTGTGTGTGTGTGTGCGTGTGTGTGTATGTATGTGTTTTTGTCGTGGCTTTTATTTGTATAAGCGTCTTTCGGTTTTAGCCGCTTAGCTCACAATCACAATCACAATCGGAATCGGAATCGACGATCGCGCTGCGCATGAAAGTGAATCAGAATGCTAACAGTTGTTGTTGTTGTTGTTGTTGTTCTTTTTTTGTTGGTGTTTCTTTAGGTGTTGGTGTTGGGTTTGCTGGCGCTCTTTGCAAAGCAAATGAGATCAAAAGTGGGCTTGAGTCGCATCTCTTTAACCTGAATATGTCAATGTTGTTGGCCAAAATGCGCATTATTCGCCCAAATGTGAGCTGCGGTTGCGTTTAAATGCCCAACACCTAAAAAGGCGAACTGTTAATGGGCCATCAATTCTGGAAAAGCTTTTAGACGAATGGAGTTACAAACGAGCTTAAATTATACAGTTCCTAATATTGTTAATGTTAAATTAATATTAAAAAGAAGAGATATATAAATATATAATATATATTCCTTATATATTTCGAGCGACTCACTTTAGTAAAATTTCATAATACTGACCCTCACTATAATAATTTTTTCAAAAATTTGTTGATCCCTGCGGTCTTTTAAATTTGTACATTTGCATATCGATATTTCTAATACTATAAAGAATACAGTTTCTTAATCAATATATTTCTATATTTCATACATATAAGTAGTTGGTTTTCATCAACTTGAAGATTACGATCTTCGCTATGAATCACATTCGAGCAAATTTTCATCAATATCTACCTGATAAAGTATATAGATATATAATTTGAAAACATCAATTATTTTTTAAATAATTGCGAATCCTTTACGCTGGCAATGCTAATATTGCCAGACTTTTTAATATTTGTAAAGCATTTCTTCTTTTATAACTCTTAGTGTGGACTCGTTAAAAAGCTGTGAAGCGCGTTCGGTCAGTTCGGTCAAGATATTGTGTTTATATGGTTTGTGGGCGTTGCTTATTATGAGTTATGTGAGATGTAGATTTGTCTGTGCTGGGCCGCCTGGCAGCCAGCTCGATCTGTCAATGAGCCGGCAGCTATAAAGAGGTGTGCCCTGACCCAATTTTCAACTGGTCTGTTATTTACTTACGCATGATCTCAGCGACTTCTGCTGCTGCTGCTGCTGCTGCCTGATGGCAACCTGGTTGGAGAACTGATATGCATTGAGTATATTAACGAATTGTTTTACGCCTAAGTAAGTGGGAAAAGTGTTCGAATTCGGTTCACTGATGATGCAAAAGTGTTGCAGGCCAGTTGGGCCATAAAGTTGGGACAACAAAACGCCCACAAATGGAAAAATGAGCTGAAAACCCTTTCGACCCCGGGCCCAATGGAAAGGTCATTAAGTAAAATGCGCTTTTGCATCATTTGCCAGACCATGGCAAAAGAAAGGTTGCTCCGCTCTTAGGTGGTCAGCCAGCCAGGTAGGCAAATAGGCAGGCGTGTCAAAGGACAGCAAACAGTGAAATGCGCGATTTTACGACACAAAGACGATGCGAAGACAACAGCGAACTTAAGTGGAAACAGTCAGCGAGCACGCCTTAGAGCAAGACACGCTAAAAACGACATTTTATGGCCATGACAAAAGATGACAGCGTCGCCTATCTTCCTCTCTGTTCCCGTTTACGTTTGCGTCTTGGTCTTTGTCAGCGTCAGCGTCAGCGCATCCGCAATCGCATCTTGTTTGCAGTGGCATTTGCCACTTCTGCGCCTGCAGTTGCAGTTGCTGTCCGTTTCTTGGCAGTCGTAAATCATACGGCAATGTTTTGCATGTGACACAAAATTGACCCAGTTTCAGTTTTCAAGTAACCCGCAGCGCAGCCTTCAATTCCCTAGACTCGAAACTTATGCAAAACTCAAACTCCTTAACCCGTTAGAATTTCTGCCTTATAGATGACGGCTGATGTAGAACTGTCATGACCTTGAGTATATTTTTGTCTGACAAAATTTTGTAATCTATTACATAATATCCAAATGACACGCGCCGTGACTCAGCCAGCTCTCGGTATCCTTTTCAGGACACACGCTTCGCACACGTGTGTGCAATTTGCCAGCCTTGACAAGAATTGCAATAGAGTTACATAAGCATATGGTATGTTTATGTTGTCAATG